ACATGGTTTTGTTTACGCGGCGCGATGCAACGCAACGCGTAAAAAGACAGTATAAGTCATTATAATTCGTAATTATGTCCCCACTGGATGCAACAAATGCCTCGTTTATAATGGGTTTTAATGATTTTGTCTTGTCGCTCCGACCGGACAGGGCATCACAGTATGTGAGGGGCGTAACATTTCCGTCACACGCTTGAGGTATTCGGCCAATCACAACGCACTGGATAGCTGGCCAATCACAGCACACCTCGCTTTTCAGACCGATGAGTTTTGTAAAAATCGACGCGTTTCAGAAAGGCAGGGCATAGAGGAGAAACAATAATGTACAGTATGTGGAAAATAATGTGTTTTTTGAACCTTAAACTGCATAAACACATTTCATTACACCAAATACACAAAATAATGTTCTTTTTAGCAGCATCATATGACCCCTTTAAGTATTAATTTAGGCATTAGCACATGATTATTCATGTACCTTTATTGTAAAGTGTTACCTTAATGTCTAACCCTGGGTTTTGATGGTCAAGGATTTCAATGATACCATATAAAACAACATAAACTGTTCAGGTGAACAGTTAATGGTGAATTCAGCAATGTGAGAAGGATATCACAGTATCACAGCATTTACAATAGTCCATATTATGGCTATTATTTTTTTTCTTTCTTTGATAATTAACTAATATTTTATTCAATAATATAATAAAAGATTGTTTTCAAAAATACAATCATAAATTTCATTTCCCTTTCTTGCAGGCTTGACATTTGTACCCTTTAGAGAACAAAATGTTCCATAGATTGTGTGTTGCAATATGGACAGGACGAGACAGCTAGAGACATCTGTCTAAGGCTGGGTGATATAGCTAAAAAAATGTATCAATGATATAATGTTTCATATCGTTCTGTATCGATAATTATTGAAATTTTTTATAACAAAGAGCAATAGAAAAAAATGTTTACAGTTAACCACTGTATTTTTAAATTAACTCAATTTATTGAGACAAACAACAAATATTTTTTGTTTTAACAGTCAAACACAAAATAAAAATTAAACAAATATCTCATTTCTAATGTTTTATATGCAGATTAAATAGGTTAAACTTTTGTCTTGTCTCCTGAGGCCACAGGAGGGCGCAATGAGCAAAATAATGCAGCACATTAAATTGTCATTGCAAAGAAAATAACTGTCTATAAAAAAATGTGCATTACCTCTAAATTAACTCATATAAATCAAATATAATTTTAGAAATTGCATAAACAATTATGAACAAAACAGCATCATGTATTTATGCACTGCTTAATCCAAAGAGCCGAATCGCCCATCACACAGATTGCCTTTAAAAACATATGAGACGCAGTGAAAAGGAATAAACTTCCACAAATTCGTGACGTGTTTTCTAAAAGTTTAAACGGTTTTAACTTTGCATGGCTTTCTATACATCTCTCTTGTGAGACGTGAGAGCAGTCATATTTGTCCGTCTAAAAAATGTGCTGAATATG